AAATGAAATAAAAATCAGGATGTTGCACGAGTTTGGTCAATACCTGTATTACTGTCTGCTCAAGCCGCACTAGTCCACTCCACCTGCACGGCAAGTAGGTTTGCCAGTGAACGCATATAATCTCTTTCCGGGATAAACAATGTCTTTCACCACTCCTAGTTCCAGGACTAACATTTGTGATTGTTCTGAGCTCATAGTAGATTCTCGTATCTATTAGTTCCCTCTTTTCTACAGCGCACCACACTGTGCGGTCTTTTGTGACTCGTTGCCCCCAGTCCCACCTGTAAAGTTGAGCACCTACCTTTCTGTTACTAGCCTAACGCCATTTCGCAAGCGTCTTTTTAGATCCCATATTGCATTCGTTAGGAATTAGGTATGCGTTTTCTTAACTCCGAATCCCCTTGCTATCCGTGAGTTCAGAGTTACTTTTGTTGTTTAGCTGCGCTAATCTCCGTTTCCTCTGGGAACCCGACATAAGGATGTGACGAATATAGTCGTTCTTGGCGTTCAAGAATTCATAATTCGCCTGTATAGATAATGGCTAATATATGTAGCATTGGTCCCTCGGCCTGAAATAGGCTTGATACCAACATTCCACAACTAATAACTGGCAGTTGCAACTACGGTTTGGTGTTTGTGGTGTCTGGGACCGTCCTGCTACTTGTTTCATGAACCCCAAAGAGCTCAGCTGGCATCATTCCGAGCATTTGACAAAATAGTGTAGTCCAAAAGGTAGTCAAATCGAGATTGGTGTCTTTTGTTTCAATTTCTGTTACCTGTTCCTACCAACTTTTCAGGCTCTATGGATTCAAAATCCATCCACTGGCCTACCAACTGCAGTATCAGGCAGCCTCCTCGATTACAGGCCCAATGAGAAGTTTTGCAAAGCGACAATAAGGAATTACCTCATTTGACATAGAAGAAATCTGGCCCATGTTTGTTCCGCTTTCTGACGCCATACTTCGATCCAGGTGTATTTGCGGGGGTCCTCCTGGTCGCATGAAAGTCCTGTCTTCACCACTCCATTACCATACTACTATCGGCCCTGTTTGTCCATGGCCTATGTATGTTGTTTCCTTGTGTGTTTGTGCATCCGTATGTTTCCATCACTTCCCTTGTTGATTGGAGTATTCGGCCCAATTGGAATATTGTGCAGCCAAGATTATGTGCTCTCGACCACTTGACAAATGTATTACATTGCTGTTTACATCAATTTTGTGTTTTGTTTTCAAGCGTGCGGTCCCGCTAAATCGCATGATACTCTCCAGTTTCTCACTATCATATACACCATAGGGATAGTTTGAGCATAATTTTTTATTTGCCACTTAACACTGGCTCGACATTCAAATAAAGATGGACGGATTTGGTTAATCAACCGACTTATAGTTGGGTGCAGTCGAGGACGTTCCGCAGTCCAAAGTAATGCTAGAAGTTCTGTCAGTCGTTCTACTATCTTTATTTTACCAAAATTTGCCTGTTGGAAAAGCTTTCGGAATGGGGTTGAGGTTAGAATTAGATCATACTGTTTCTTATGAACGCTTCTGGACAGCTGTTAATCCGACAGGCCATAGGACGTCGGAAGTGGAGACGTACGCTACCGAGCGCGTCTCAGGGTTTAGGTGAGGGGTACAACCACATGATCAACTGTGAGTGCGTTTGCATTACTTCTTTGGGTAATCAGTGACAAGCAACCAACAACGATGCGGGATGACATGCCATGTTTTCTCCTGGTTATTGATTTTTGTGCTACAGGAAGCCAAGTATGTCCATAGAAGCCATCGTGATATGGGCCATTCTGGTCCACAACCAAATATTGTCATCGCTGACACCCTATGCAAAGTCAAAGGTTTATTATGGGGAAGACTTACAAGCGGTTGCTTTTCTTATTTAGCACGTGGGTCGAAATACGGTTCACAGAAAGATGAGGAATGTCACAAATTATCTTTGTTTCGTGCACTGCTACGGATGTCGAAATTTAAGCCTTGTCAAAGTTTCACCCCTTTGTGCTTGAAAGAATCAATTGTGGGCACAGAAACGGCGTGAGGTGGTAGAGAATTCCAAATACTGCACACTCTGAGGGCGAATTAATGATGCTGGCATTTTAGTTAACAGTGTCGGAGCACTTATTTGAATGACTACCCCTTGAGGTAAGTGTTGGGCTCCAAGGCGAGCACTAAACGGTACGAGTAATCAAAGTTCTGCTTTATTTGATACACCAAAGTCAAATCCCCTTGAATTCGGCGATACTGTGTTGAGTGCAGCCCCAGAGATTCCAGTTTTTACGCATATGTCTTGGAATGCAGTCCTTTGACCGCTTTGGTGACCATTCCTTGTGGACGTTTCAGAATCTTTCGATCGCGTTGCAGCCACGATTTTTACTCTTGGATGGCACATACTCTATGTGAGGTCGAGTCCAGGCGGATAACAAATATGGGAACGGCATCGGGTCAAAATTGTCAAATACATGTCTTAGCAGACGAATGTGTGTTGCAACAGTGGACGACATCCTAGAGTAGTTTAACGAAGAACTCAGGTCGTGTTGAATAATGACACCAAGATCCTTCTCATTCGAAACATACGAAAGTTTATTACAGGAGCTACGGAGACCGAGTTTTGTGCAGAAGGACGACGACCGTACATTTTAGTGCATTGAATTCCTTGTCAGTTTTGATCGACCATTGATAAGCAGTGTTCTCTGATGTGCAAATTAGTCCTCAGGTTTTGTCACTTTCCCATGGTTTTGCATCTTCTGCAAACGATAAAATCTGTGGTCCCAGAATGTCCACTAGATCGTTTATGCAAACCAGAAAAAGTTGAAAGCTAAGCACAGGTCCCGATGGAACTCTTTGGTCTATGTTACTGGAACAGAAAGTGACCCGGAAAGCTGTACTGCCATGGTCCGTTGTCGAAGAAATTCTTCCACCCAACCCAGTACCAATCTCCGAATTCCATATTTATGTAGTTTTCTCAGCAGTATTTTGTGGTTCACTCGGCCGAATACATGAGATTAGTCGATGTCCACTAGCCTGGGTACCCTTGGGTTATGCAGAGCTGAATGCTACCGGGCGCGTCCCCGGGTTGTGGATAGGGGAATACCTTCACCGAAGAACGTTAGCTGTGAATAAGTTGTGGCATACCGCAATAAATAAGCAGTCGCGAATAAACAGCGGCGGCACTACCAGGGTGTGGTGGGTTTCAGGCTGGTTACCTGACTTTTGTTTAAAAGCCACGTAAGCCCATTGACGGTGTCGTTACAAAGGTCGGTGTGACTGACCTTTTAAGACTAAAGTCATTGACCCCCTCATTTCCGATGTGAGGGATTACTTCCTGCTGCCTTGCAGTTCGCACTTGGTTGTGCAAAGGCTAGAGGTTCAACCTCGAAATAAAAGCGCTTAGTAACAAACTCCCAACGAACTTCATGATCATGATCATATCTGGAGCCGGCTTAGCTTTTCCAACGATCCAGCCGCCGTAAAGTAAATTAAGGTTCACTAGGCCTACTGCATCACTGAATAACTGCTTTTGTCCACTTCTCTCGGGCCAGAAACAGGTTTCGCCTGCGACGAAACCCTCACCGGGGATAAAACGTGTTTTTCGAAGTCACTCGTTATATTGCAACGATGGATTCCATAACTTTGTATAATACAGGCGGGAGTTAGCCGGGTCACTACAACGGCCATTTTCGCATATTAATGAAATGATTCCATGTTTGTGGAGGCACTTTTATCGAACATACTTTGGAGTATTTTAGTTAGTAATTGAGCTATGTGATTTGCCAGGTTGACAAATGGTTGTGAATGGATGTTATCTATCCCCGGAGATAAATTTCTTTTCAAACACTGCAGTTTCGATGCTATGATTTCTGGGGAAAAATCAATTGCGGTGAACGTGGGATATGATATGTCCTCAAGTGACAGAGGCAGTCGTAGTCCGATGTTCACAGGTTGAGTCATACTGACTTTTTAACATTTCAGGTGCCTCGTTTGTTGTGACCGAGACACGTTGGCTCCTTCGTAAAATTTTAAAGTGGGCAGGATTCAATAAACTGAGTCAGTTTCCTCTCAAACGGCTGAGGAGATGTCAATCACTGATATAGCCAGGTTTGGGATATTGAAGTCGTCCATAATGAGGATATCCGTGTACTTCGGTGACAATGTGATACATGGTTTGCAGTAGCACAATAGTGCAAGGGCGTCCTCCAACAAAAGGGTGGCATGAAATGGAGTATACCATTTTCTATTATATGCATACAAACTCTAGTGGAGTCGTCTAAGAAGCAGACACACAGGTGCTAATACAGCAACAGCAAGAAAAGCGTCTATCGCATTGACTGGTAGAACAGGAGTGTTTGTTAGGGCATTATTTTTGTACTACCAGGTCCTTTGGGCACTCTGTTTGAAAGTTTGCTGATCTCTGAGCGGTTGTTCGTCTGCAGCAAAATCGATGGGGTTGTAAGGTTCAGTTCGTTGTTTCTGTAGAGCGAAGAATGCGACCGAGTGGAAATTTGAAGAAATATTTCTCTCAAGGATCAGAATTAAAAACAATCTTGAGGTGTATTTTTACAAGGAGGCACTACTCAAAGTGAAAAGAAAACAGTTTTTGACAACTGCTTGTACTTAGTTCCAGATTAAATGGGTCTCGCTGCCTCCTTGTCAGTCTGACGACCATGCCAAGAGATTGAAGTCAATTACGTTTTGTAGTTGTGTTCATAACCTCTTTCGCCGCTGGAACGAAAAATTGAAATGGAAAACCGGATTATCAAAAGGTCACGATTCAAGATGACAGGTAACAATAAGATTCTCTGAGACTAACAGGTTGTATATGTCAAGAAGACAGCGTTATCACTAGAGGGCTGTGATGGTCGAGTGATAAAGGTCACTAAATTACCGCTCCCGAGGACGTGTGTTCGTACCCCACAACCCCCGGCTGACTTTCTTACTCTCTGTATTTTGTATGGCGGCCTTCTGATTGATCACTTTCTACTTCCGGAAAATAGTCATATATTCAATAAGAGGAAGTAAGTATGTGTTTTCAGTGATCAGGAGTGATGTGTTTCAAGGCTATCTTCAAAAGAGAGAAAAAATATAGTTCAGCCCAGTCTCGCTTTAGCCGACCATGTTAAACTTTTGACAAATGAGAAATACTGGCCGACGTGTCAGTAGCTCCTCATGTATAATACCCAGCTATGTGGTTAACTCACATAAAGCAGCACTACATCTCTTAGATGCTTGGTTGCAGTACCGATGGGGCGATTAACATATGACCCCTTTGTAGTGGAATTTAACTAATAGAAAACGAATCTTTTTGTTCCGAAGGAAACTCGTTCCTTATTGTGGCACATCAGTTGTAGTCGGTATAGCTTCCCCATTTTCATGCGTTCATTTCAGATAAATATTACGCCGAGAATGTTTCTTTGGAGCTAGGCCCTCGAAAGAAGCTTTCGTTGGCCATACCGTCAATCAGGATAGTTGTCTCCCGTAATAACGCACGTATCGTTCTGAAATTCGATGAAATTCAGTTCTAGGGTTATACGTATATCGGGGTAACCTGTTGATTGTTTTCCGCTTGAAAATTATCCGGTATTTTCTACCTGGCTGTAGTTTTTGTGTTGCTCTAGTGGTTTTCTTGCTTAAATATATCTTGTTTCTAACCGTTCGCCAATTGGATTACATCTGCTGACCTTAGAGAGCCGGAATTGATGTACTTTTACCATCCGGTAAATTTGAAGTACTTAATGCAACCTTGCGGTGCATTTATCAGACACCCATACGTTCTCATGCATTGTTCTCGTGATTAAATGTGCACTGGTCAAGGGTTTTGAATCACTGTCACTTGCCTACTCTGGGAAATAACATTTGAGTTTCGAACCCCACTGTTGCCCCCCCCCAAACTTAAGT